TGGGAGAAAGCGGAGCACCCGGAGGAAACCCAGGCGAACACAGGGAGAACATGCAAACTTCACACAGAAACGTCAACTGACCGAGGCTCGAACCGGCGACCTTCTTGCTTTGAGGCAACAGCACTTCTTAGTGCGCCACTGCGTCACCCTCAAATTAAAGTAAATAGTTCAATTACTGATGTCCATGTAAACATAGTCATTTATTGTTTAAATGAACTTCAGTCACACATCTATGTTGTCACCCCCATGAAGGCAAGCACTGTCAGAGAGATATTCAGATCTGTGCCTGCACCAAGCCAGATTTGAGCCACATAAAACCGCACATTATTTTAACAGGAATTTCCAGTGTATTTGCTGGTTTTGGGCAAAATAATATAGGCATGGTGGGCCAGAGGGCCATACATACATACATACATACATACACACACACACACACACACACACACACACACACACACACACACACACACACACATACATACATACATACAACTTTAGCTTAGTTCCTTACTCCTTATATACACAGCGGAAAGAAATGCTAACTATTCTAGCATATGTTTTATGCCCTTCCAGCTGCAGCCCAGTACTGGGAAACACCCATACACAATCACATCCACATACATTCTCATACACTACAGCCAATTAAGTTCATCCAGTTCACTTATAGCACTATAAAGTCTTTGGACTTATAGGGGAAACCTCGAGGAAACCCACATGAGCACAGGGAGAACATGCAAACTCCACACAGAAATACCAACTGGCCCAGCCAGGACTTGAATCAGCAAACTTTTTGCTGTGAGGTGACAGTGCTAACCATTGAGCCACCGTGCCACCACAGCCAGAACATATAACAGGTTATTGGCAAAAGTCTTTACGGATGTGACGCTTAGAAAACTGGGGTTTATTATTGGTAGAGCTCATTTCAGTAACAAGTTGCTCTGCCCACCAGTAAACACAATATTAAATAAAAACAGGTCATTTTAAAAAGGCACAGTAAGTATATGCATCAATAAATCATTTGTAATAAATACTGCAGTATTTAAAAAAATGATAAGACATGTCTGTGTCAGGGTTCTGCCACTTTGGTCTTGTAAATTCTTGTTTTGGTGGCAGAGCTCTGACACTACTCAATGTCTGGTCCTGTTTCTGTCTCTGTGTGCGCGCGCGCCGTCGTGGGTGTACACATCATGTGGCAGCGCGCGCTCTGCGTCCCTCAGACGCGCGCGCTCTTGTACTAGTGTTTGTGTTTGTTCTGTCAGCAGCGCGCTGCTTTATTCTCGGCGCCTCCGTCTAGTTGGTTTCAGTTTTGGTTGGCGCTGAGATGAAGCATGCGCGTTGCTTATGTGTGAGCGCACGGTAAGGTGTTTATCTATCGTGTGCTCGTGTCTTGCGTCTTTTGTCAAAGCACGTGGCTCGGTGTTTACATTGTGGTCACGTGCTTTTGTCGTGTGCTTCAGTGTTGTTATGTGAGCGCATGGCTTGTATTGTCTCTCTGTGTCATGCGCTCTCCCGTCTATTGTCTAGTCCCACCCTCCTTGTCAACCCATTATTAGTTAATTGTGTTCACCTGTGTGTCAATTTACTTTTTTGCTTTATAATCCCCCTCATGTTTTCAGTCCTTTGCGAGTTCGTTGTCTACACTCCCCGTGTTCCTGCTCCAGTCTTGCCTTGTTCTTGTTGAGCCAAGTTTGTGTGTTTTGTTAATGTTTTCCCCCTCGGGGTAGTTTTGTTTTGCTTTTTATTTTTATTTTATTATTAATAAATACCCATTGTTTCTTTGCACTTGAGTCCTCGCTCCTTTTTCCCCATTTCCCATCACCAACCCTGACAGTACGAACTCGCCATAAAGAGGACTCAGCAGAAAAATGGGTAGCTTCCTCTTTCCATCTCCTTTTCTTGGGGGCTCTGTCAAACACCAGCTGCTTCAGGTTGTCCAGGAAATCTCCCTGCAGCAGGGAGAGGTGGACATCAGAAATTTCGCCCACGACTTCCTTGCTGTAGTGGATGGCCTTGAGTATGAGGATAACCTGGACCTCAAGGAGGCATTTAACATCTGCCTAACGGAGCCCCTCAGCCCTGTGGAGATGGAGAGGCTGGAGTACCTGCCATTTTGGCGCTTTGTGTTTAAGCTCCACCAACTCCGCACAAAGCGCCAGCCCACTGACTGCTTGACATATCCATCTGCAGTCAGTGGGGGCCCCAGTCCTCCAATGACCCAGAAACGGCGAAGGAGGAGGAAGACCGGGTCTGCCTTACCTGTCGCCCACCCAGAGGTGACCGAACCTGCTGCAGCCCTTTCAGTTACCATCCTGGCTGCAGCATCACTTACTGAGGCACCCGCAACAGACACTGCACCAGTCCTGCAGGCAGTGGAGTATACTGCAGTGTCTGAAGAGGTGGCCAGCTTCCCGCCACCCAGACCAAGGAAGCGTCGGAGGAGAAAGGGCTCCTCCACCACAACGGCTCCAGCCCCTGAGCGCCCTCCAGTGTCGGCTCCAGCCCCTGAGCGCCCTCCAGTGTCGGCTCCAGCCCCTGAGCGCCCTCCAGTGTCGGCTCCAGCCCCTGAGCGCCCTCCAGTGTCGGCTCCAGCCCCAGAGCGCCCTCCAGTGTCGGCTCCAGCCCCAGAGCGCCCTCCAGTGTCGGCTCCAGCCCCAGAGCACCCTCCAGTGTCGGCTCCAGCCCCAGAGCGCCCTCCAGTGTCGGCTCCAGCCCCAGAGCGCCCTCCAGTGTCGGCTCCAGCCCCAGAGCGCCCTCCAGTGTCGGCTCCAGCCCCAGAGCGCCCTCCAGTGTCGGCTCCAGCCCCAGAGCGCAGCTCAGTGCCGGTCCCAGTCCGGCTCCTTGCCCTGCCGGCGCCATCCAGACGTCTTGCCCTGCCGGCTTCAGCCCGGCTCCTTGCCCTGCCGGCACCACCCAGACGTCTTTCCCTGCCGGCACCACCCAGACGTCTAGCCCTGCCGGCACCAGCCTGGCTCCTTGCCCTGCCGGCACCAGCCCGGCTCCTTGCCCTGCCGACGCCACCCAGACGCCTTGTCCTGCCGGCGCCACCCAGACGCCTGGCCCAGCCGGCCCCAGCCCGGCTCCTTGCCCTGCCGGCGCCACCCAGACGTCTCGCCCTGCCGGCGCCACCCAGACGTCTCGCCCTGCCGGCGCCACCCAGACGTCTCGCCCTGCCGGCGCCACCCAGACGTCTCGCCCTGCCGGCGCCACCCAGACGTCTCGCCCTGCCGGCGCCACCCAGACGTCTCGCCCAGCTAGCCCCAGCTCGGCACCCTGCCCTGCCGGCCCCATCCAGACGTCTCGTCCTGCCGGTCCCAGCCCGGCGCCTTGCCCTGCCGGCTCCCCTCTGGTCTCCTGCCCTGCCGGCACCCCTCTGGTCTCCTGCCCTGCCGGCTACCCTCTGGTCTCCTGCCCTGCCGGCTCCCCTCTGGTCTCCAGCCCAGCCGGCTCCCCACAGGCCTCCAGCCCAGCCGGCTCCCCACAGGCCTCCAGCCCAGCCGGCTCCCCACAGGCCTCCAGCCCAGCCGGCTCCCCACAGGCCTCCAGCCTTGTTTCCCCTCATAGACCCTCCCTGGGTCGTCCCTCCTGCTCCTCCCTGGTGTTCCTCCTCTCCACCCTGGACTGACCCTCCGGCTCCACCCTGGCTCCCTGCTGGGGCCCCCGACCCACTGAATCCACCCTGGACTGTCCCTCCTGATCCTCCCTGGTCTTGCCCTCCCATCCCTCCCTTGTTTGTCTTGTTCGGTCTGGCTTGGCTTCCCTCCCTCCCTCCCTTCATGTCGTCTTGCCTGTTCACCTCCCTGTCTTGTGTCTGTTGATGTTGCCTGTTTTGTTGTCTTGTAGTGTTTCTTGTCTGTCTTGTACCTTGTTGGATGTTCCCTTTAGGGACGCCAGGTGGCGTCCCTTTTGGGGGGGGCTAGTGTCAGGGTTCTGCCACTTTGGTCTTGTAAATTCTTGTTTTGGTGGCAGAGCTCTGACACTACTCAATGTCTTGTCCTGTTTCTGTCTCTGTGTGCGCGCGCGCCGTCGTGGGTGTACGCAGAGTGTGCGCGCTGCCACATGATGTGGCCGCGCGCGCTCTGCGTCCCTCAGACGCGCGCGCTCTTGTACTAGTGTTTGTGTTTGTTCTGTCAGCAGCGCGCTGCTTTATTCTCGGCGCCTCCGTCTAGTTGGTTTCAGTTTTGGTTGGCGCTGAGATGAAGCATGCGCGTTGCTTATGTGTGAGCGCACGGTAAGGTGTTTATCTATCGTGTGCTCGTGTCTTGCGTCTTTTGTCAAAGCACGTGGCTCGGTGTTTACATTGTGGTCACGTGCTTTTGTCGTGTGCTTCAGTGTTGTTATGTGAGCGCATGGCTTGTATTGTCTCTCTGTGTCATGCGCTCTCCCGTCTATTGTCTAGTCCCACCCTCCTTGTCAACCCATTATTAGTTAATTGTGTTCACCTGTGTGTCAATTTACTTTTTTGCTTTATAATCCCCCTCATGTTTTCAGTCCTTTGCGAGTTCGTTGTCTACACTCCCCGTGTTCCTGCTCCAGTCTTGCCTTGTTCTTGTTGAGCCAAGTTTGTGTGTTTTGTTAATGTTTTCCCCCTCGGGGTAGTTTTGTTTTGCTTTTTATTTTTATTTTATTATTAATAAATACCCATTGTTTCTTTGCACTTGAGTCCTCGCTCCTTTTTTCCCCATTTCCCATCACCAACCCTGACAGTCTGTTTTGAGTTCAAAGTGGTTCTGTCTTAAGTCATAGAAACCTTTTTCACACAAATACTGGCACAAATTTTTTTATTTACTATTAATAATGATAGGCAGGCACTTGGTGAAATATTAACCAGTTTATGTTGATGTTTTTTTTTTTCAACAAGCATCCTGACATACAAACATGCGTGCATACATATATGCATACACACATGCATACAAACCATCCACTGGGATTTATTACATAATCCATTACAGCTACATTACAATGGTATTTAAAGCGTGGCACTACCTGATCATTCTCTGTGCCTTCAACAACATCAATAAGACAAGCAAGGACTTTTTTTGTTTGCAGTATTACAGCATATAGTCTTTTTCTGTGCTTTTAAGGATGTCTAATTCCAATGTTACCAATTCGAACATCACTCAGACTATAACGCCAGTGGATCGAGATCTGAAAACCATTTTATCCGTGTCCTCGTGTGTTATTTTCCTCTATGTCAATGGAGTCATGATCTTCACCTTAAGGAAAAAGCCTGTTTTTCAGGAGACGTCTCGCTATATTCTGTTCGGTCACATGCTTTGGGTCGACACGCTTAATCTTGTAATGAGCGTAGTGTTATTTGCTTGTGCTGTTTTTAGGCCTTTTGTTATGAAAATTGTCTGTCTTATACTTCTTGTTGCTGCGACAGCTCTCTATCAGGTCTCAACTTTGAATCTGGCTTTAATGTCATTGGAGAGATATGTGGCCATCTGCTTTCCTCTCAGACATGCAGAAATCACCACTTATGGAAGAACCAACATGGCTATTGGTGTTATCTGGATGATAAGCTGGATTCAATCCCTGTCTGAGATTGTTATCTTTTATTCCATTGATACAACCAACATAGCAGTGAATTTGTTCTGCTCTAGAACTACTCTCTTCAGACTGCAGATTTATAAGAATCTTGATGTAGCTTTCACATGTGTATATTTTGTGTCTGTGTGTTTTATTATCATCTTTACTTATGCCTCTATAGCAGCTGTGGCTAAAACTGCCTCCGGTGATAAAGCATCAGCCAAAAAAGCCACCAAGACTGTCCTTCTGCATCTAATACAGCTGGGTCTATGTGCTGCATCTATTTTAATTGGAGTAATTCAAGAAGTCATTTATGTTTTTACCAGCTATGCGACTATAATTAGTTTTATGTTTTTCTTCTTTGTTGTGTTTATGATTTTTCCAAGATGTCTAAGTCCTCTTATTTATGGTCTGAGAGATCAGGCCTTCAGCAGTTTATTTAAATACTACTTCGCATTTGGTCTCAAAAAGCCAAGCAAATGTAATACAGAGATGCATTTAGGAGGAGGCAGCTGATTGTTAAATATTGAAATAGTAACTAAAAGTCTTGGTACAGTAGATAATGTTTCTTAATTATTAAGATAGAAAGGTTATCTCTAAAACTGCAAAAAATGAAAACTTGAATCAGATATTGGTGTAAAAAACAGATGCATATTTAACCATGTGTTTAACAAACATATTAAACCCTTATCACCACAAATTTAATGACCACAAACATGAGAAAGTGTTTTAAAAGTAAGCAATTGTCAATGTTTTAGCATCTTTTCTGCCCCAAATATAATTAATACTAACACTGACTGAGATTTTGTTGTTGTTGTTGTTGTTGTTTTCCGGTTTACCATACTGTTTTAGTTATGATGCAAAATGTGCTCCGACATAACAGCCTTTTACACACAACAATTAAAAACTACTTGATAAATCATTCATTTGTTGTTATGTGATAATGAAGATATAAATTAATTGTATATCAGATTTCAGAAGCAACATTTTGTTGTCCATTTTATCTTCTACAGTATATTCTGGTAAATGATTTCATGACAGTAACAAAGAATTAACATTTTCAATGCAAATTAACTGTTTGCTATAAACTTTAATTAAAAAAAATAAATGAACATCAAAGATTTTATTGTATAACAAAATTTAAAATAATGTAAACTGTGTGTGTGTGTGTGTGTGTGTTTGACTCATGATATGGCAAACAGACAACATATTTAGTATAATGCTAAAGTTTATTTATTAATTCCTTTAATAACATTTACAGCTATAATTGTCTGTGCATAAAAGGTTAAAAAGCTCAGAGCCATGGCCTAAAACTAAATTGTATGAGTAAAAGCTAAAAACAAATTTTGAACATATACAATGTGAATATTTATTTAATCAAATTATGGTTGAAATTTAAGAACTTATGAAAAAATAATTAGACTTTTCTTACACTATTTATTGTGGCTTTAACTTTTTTGGACTATCTGATACAAATAAGTGTGACTTTTTAAGGACCCATTGGATATATAATAACCTATGTTAGAGGTGAACATGATGTTTAAAGCAAATACAGAAAACACTTTCTATAAGTAACAGCACAGTCACTGCTGCCAAGCATGTGCAGAATTTCAAAACATAAAAGAATGGGAAAATAATTCAAAAGATTGTTTACAGTGTGCAGGGCACATTAAGTGCAGTGTGCAAACAGCACTCACCAGGATTGAGTCTGCTTCTTGGAGTAAAACAGCTGTCTTTGAGAAGATTTGCAAACCTGAGCTTCCCCATAGTTTTTCTCAGATCAGTAGGACCACCAACTGCAGATGGGGTCTCCATTCTGTTAGGGGAGTGTTAGCTGTAATGAGACTGCACAACTGAGCTCATCCAGAGTGTGAATGGCACACAGCAACCTGTCCTGAACCACTGATGTTTATGTATATAACCATGACTTACGAGCAATATGAGACAGTTGTCTAGATATTTAAGGGTTTAGATGGGGATATGACACTCTCTATGATATTTTTAAAAACCCATGAAAGTGCCCAAATGCTGAGGCATTGCACTGCCATGCTCCACCATGAATACAGTCAAGGCAAAATCAAGACAAGAAATTAGTTCTACTAAGATTGTCCTTCAGGTTGATAATTGCGAACCAAAGAATGGCAGCATCTAAGGATGTCCTTCTGCATGAGTATCTTAATCATCATCCTATGGAAGGAGCAGTCATAGGCCCATATGGAATCTGTGCATGCAGAAATCTGCAGATTTTAGCCCATCGTTGAGTCTATTTATTTACTTACGTAAATGTTTGTAAATTTATATTTATTCAGTTTTTAAATTTATTTCAGTAATATTGTTGACAAATGCGCAGAAATAACAGAAAATGGCGGCAAATTCTGTCTGGCCCTAGTCATAACCCACCGCTCTTTTTGGGTACAATAAAGAACAAGCTATAGAACCTGCTTTTTTATCTTGGCTGGAGGAACCAGCGTGCCCTATACCCTACCTGATTTCACAGAGTTGGACATGTTAGTGGATTAACATCTATGTTGATCCTGGAACAACATTCCAATCAGCCAATCACAATCAAGGGATACATTTACCGTTTATGTTAAGTTTAGGCTTACTATTAGTTTTATGCACTTCTAAAATATTATCCAACTATTATTCCCCTCTGATTTTGGAATAGTTTACAGTTATGGTTGGGTTTCGGGGTATGGAATAGGTGTGAATACATTTTTCGAACAAAACAATGTTCCAGAATCAAGATGTTAATACAGGATTGCATCGTACTTGGCAAAATCATGACATGCATGTGCTATACTTGGTCATTGGAAAGAATGATGCACTTTGCAGGGAGCAGGATGAATTGCTGGCTGCTGGCAGCTAAGCAGTCATTTTAGGCTATTGGTATATGAAGTGACTGATAGCACTTGACTGTTACACATTGCAGAAAACTAAGAAAGCATATCTTGAAAGAAAGCAATTCTCTCACATCAGCAGATTCAGTCATTAGCCAAGGTTCTGGACAACAAGTGTGGACATCTGCTTCTCCTTGAAGCAAGTGCAGCTACTTGGTCATAAAGCAGTCATTAGCCTTACACAGAGAGTGCATGATTCTTGCCCAGGGAACTTTTTTTTTAAGTTTTAAGTCTGAGTAAGAGTAGAGCTGTTTTTGGTCTGCAGCAATACATGCTCTGGAATTCAGGGATGAAGGAAAAATGGTTTGGATTGGAATCTCAGGTGATCCCACCAGTTAGCTTTACTTTGTGGACAGAGGTTGACCACAATTGCTTTTCTACCTAGGTGCCTTCCAAGTCTGCAGGACCTCCTCTTGCAACTCCGAGAGGAAGGGAACATGGATCAAAGAAATGGACCTTACTAACTTCAATGTAACACTCATCTACCCAACAGGGTTCACAAAGGGGAACACTTCCTGATCTTGGTGGTTGCACAGGAGAACATGTCCACTTTGAGGAAGGGGTCCTGCTGGAACATAACAACTCACCTTTTGTTACGTGGGTCTGTGTTATTTAACTAATCTATTTATTTATTGCCGGTTTGTGCTTGTTGCGATCGAGTTCTAGGAGGAGTGTTTCTACCCAGCTTATCCAGGATTGGATGACGCCCGTGACGTCACTGGGGATTCCCAGTATATAAGGCTGACAGCAATGGCGTCTCTCTCTCTCTCTCTCTCTCTGTGTCTTGCAGTCTCTTGCCGTCCCTCAGCTCGGTGGTGGCTTGCGCTCAGGCGGTCTAGCTGGCGGTGCTCCGCAAGCCAGGCGATCAGCCATCTAGATGCTGCTCCAATTAGTGTTTTTTTCCTGTTAATCTTTTGATTCTTAGTTCGTAATGTGTTAACTAGTTTGTGTATTTTGATACTTTTTGTAGTAGGTAGGGGTTTATTTTTCATAGTCACGTTTTGTTATTTATTTATTTTAGCGAAGGTAAGCAGTGGCCCGGAAGACTCACCTATTTTTATTCCTTTCACGGGAGTTTAGGTAAGATCTGTCCATTTAAAACAGTATAGTCAGAGACCTGTTTACCTTAGCTGCCCTACCTGTCTAATTGATTTTTGTTAATGTTTTGTCTTTTTTGAAAACTTATGATTTCTGAAAATTAAACGTATTGACGGAACGTCTGTGTCTTTCATATGTTCGGCTCAAACCTTGAATGTTATTGTTATTCGAGCCAGTTTTGAGTTTGGGCCGTAACACCTTCCAATGCAGCGAGGGACATTGAGTGTTATTGAATGAGAAAGAGCCCATGCTGCGGGATGGGTCAGCAGTCTAAATCTTAATTTAAAGTTCTCCGTCAAGTATACTTTACTCCGCATAAGTATACTTTGGTGCAACCTACACGTAGTCACATAGCCCTCGCCATGGCCGTCTACGACACTGATGCACACCTCTCAAAAAAAAATGTAACTACACATTGCAACGACGTATAGCACAAGCTGTGTTTGGTTAATTTGGTAGCGCTGACAAGTGTGGGTGGAGGTGAGAGATGTGCGAGCCTGATGCAGCGTGTTTTTACAAGTGTGGAGTCCCGTGAAGGAGCTCCGTATGGAGACTGTTGTTTTGTGGTTCCCTTATGATTAAAGTTGTTGCACGCCAATTCCAGCGTTCAGAAAAAATAAAACACCAGCAAACACAACATAAACACCTGCTACCAGCTAGTGTTTCGGAAATGTTATTGCAGACCAACAAACACAGCGCGCAGAAGTATAAATGCATGGCTACATGCGCCGTGGGTCATGCTGATCACTTGATGCAGAAGTATAAACCAGGCTTTAGGCGGGGTGCAGAGAAGTGGGAGCTTTTGAAAGATTCACTTACCAGATTTGATGCTATTGTAATCCTCTGGCCTGCCTGCCTGCATACTAACCACTGTGTAGGTAGCAAGAACAACGTCTCACACTTGGAGTTTTGCAAACTGTGATATCAGCATCACCATAGACTTCCCCCTATAGTAAAGGACACATGTATTCAGGAGCCCTAAATCAGCATGCTGAATTTCCTGGCATGGGGTACAACGATTGTGACCATCATCTGGGGGCAGGAAACCACTGCATCAAAAATCCCTCAATTGCTAAAGAACGGTGGTTTGATTATTTGTTTTATTTAAGAATCAATATTCCAGGAGACTCACAAATATCCCAAAGGGAGTTTATTTTTCAGATAACACCTAAAGAAAGGCAACACACCCAGATCTCTACTGAAAACCAATGGGATTTAACATGCGTAAAATAATGATGTGAGGAACAATATATAAAGAGTGATGCTCTTACAGCATTTGGGGTCTTTCTCTCTCCCTGCCTTCAACAACATGCGAGCCTGGATTTTTCTACTGACAAGGATGTTGTAAATTGGGGAAATATTTTGTTACACCATCATCTGATGTATATCTCCATGTCTTACTTCTCTGAACATGTCTAATATTAATGGTTCTACATCTAACCTCACACAGACTCTATCACTGGTAGATCGAGATGCACCAGTGAAAACATTCTTGTGCGTGACTCCATGTGTTGTTTTTCTCTATGTCAATGGTGTCATGATGTTCACTTTGAGGAAAAAGACTGTTTTTCTGGAGACATCTCGCTATATTCTGTTTGCTCACATGCTTTGGCTTGATACGCTCCATCTTTTTATGAGTGTGGTGCTGTTTGTTTGTGCTGTTAGCAGGATTTTTATTTTTAAAAATATTTGTATCCTCCTTCTTGCGGCAGCACAATCTCTTTATCAGGTGGCATTACTGAATCTGGCTTTAATGTCATTGGAAAGATATGTGGCTATTTGCTTCCCTCTTAGTCATGCTGTGGTGTGGGTGATAGGTTTGATTCAATGTCTCTCTGAGATGATTATCTTCTATTCCATTGATTCTACAAACACAGTGATGAATTTGTTCTGCTCAAGAACTACTCTCTTCAGACTGCAGATCTA